GAAGCGGTGCTGTGCTGATGTGACTTATCCAGCTTTTGGATCAGGGCTGGCTTGGATCACATCGTTCATCTGTCTTCAAAAGACAGCTGAACACGTTGGGTTGGCAGGGTGGATTCTGTTCAGGGATAGAGGTTCAGATGTGTTTGTCAGGGTGTCATTGCAGACACCCGTGTTTCCCTCAACTCCTTAGGTATAATGTGTTTTGACTGATTAAAGGATTTTTTAAAAAATACTAAAGGCAAGAAGTTTGTATTCCCTTGATAGGAATGTCACTACTAAAAGATAAGCAAAATGCTTTCTTTTCTACCAGAAACCAGAACACGTAATGTATGCAACAAGCAAAGCGCCTCAGCAGTATGGTAGAGTCCTGCATGCCAACAAGGATTTCTAAATAGCCCCTGTTCTCTAGCCTGAGCTAGGGACCACTTTTAATTCTTTATTCTACAAAATATTTTTCCTTCTTTCATTTCAAAAGTGGCGACACTAAAGTAAAAGCAGGCACACTCTGTCATTAGAGGGCAGATATTCTGAACAAATCTTACCATCTCCTGAGATTTCAACGTGCCCTCAGGCATTACACTGCGTAACTGGAAATCATTTTGCAAAGGTAAATTAAATGAGTTTAGCAGCTTAGCGTGTGAATGTCTTAAGGCCAAGTGATGTGAAATATTGCAACAGATTTGTCAATAAAGAACAGGTTCCTTTGGATTCTTCTGGATGTCTCGGGGTGAAACGGGCTCCAGGGATGTCGTTGGCTGTGCTAATACAGCAAACTCTGATTGCAACTGAACAGTGAACCACTGCTTGAAGATAATGTCAGGGGGTTAATGTTGTGCTTTCATGTCAATGATCTCAAAATTGATGTTCCTGGCTGGCACAAGACATTTTTGCATTGCACCAAATGCTGCATCTGCCTTTACAAGTGGGATTTCAGGCTGATGTGGGTCCTCCATGGGTCCTGGCTGCTGTGCTGTGTGCGGTCAGCACCTCCTACTGCTAAGGGAGCTATTTAATATTAATGTTATTTGACTACCTGACAGCCTTCAGATGAACACAGGTCACACTCTGCAGGATAACTGTGTTGATTCACCTCTGTGCTTTGGAGAATATGGAAAAAAATACAAAAAGAGAGACATTTGAACGGGCTTGTAGCCTTTTACAGTGGGAGTGGCTCTGGAATGGCCTTTTAGGAAGAGGAAAGGAGTGCCATGGTTTTTACAAGGATAATGACGGAAAAAAATTATCCCTCTGCCCAAATTTCACCCTTCTGATGAAATTTGTTGCAGTGGAGCAAGTTCATTATTTATTGCCTTGTATGATCTACAACTTGGCACAATGGTGAATACCAGAACAAGAAAACGACAGAACACATGTGCTCTATCTGAACACTTTTGAGTTTTCAGAGTTTGAGGGGAGTGAAAGCAGGAATATGCTAAAAGACAATGAAACTTCAAGTAGGTTTAGCTGTATTTTACCCGTTTGAAAAGAGTGGCAGAAGGCAGCAGCACTCAAATGACTGGACATACAGGTGAAAAGAAAAATAACATTGGTAGTTACACTTGCTGACATATTACAGTACTTATATTTTCTCTTCTTACAAGACACAGCATCAGCTTAGGGTCAAAAAGAAGTCATCTTGCCTTTGTAATAAGACATTTAGAGTGTGTATGGGGAGGTTTTGCTCCTCAGAAAGATCAGATGTTGTCTATCATTAGCAGAGGCAGGCAGCAAGACCATCAATGTGTTTGGGCACAGTAATTCCTATGGACCTGATTAAAGTATTCATATTCTGTTTCCATGTAGCCTACACACCGTGTATGAGGAAAAGCTTGGTAATGAGCCCTGCTTTCATAACGAGCCCTGCACAACGACAGAAGATAGATCTTGCTGCTGTAAGAAGTGACTCAGATCATTGGTGGAGCTGCTTGCTTCTTCCTTTGCCTTCAGGGTTTAATTTAGGAGTCTGAGTGATTACAGTACAAAAAAAATCACCCACCTGGGAACTAAGTCATATTATCAATGTCCGCTAATGACTACAGCAAGTCATTAAGAGTTAGCTTGTAAGCTGGAAAGGAAACAGAGCTGGAAATAAGCTAGTTAGGCTTTACTGGCTAATTATTTTAGCAAGAGTTCATCTTTTCGATAGGTACTTTTGGTGAGTGTTCTGAACTACTTTTGCCCTGAAGAAAGGGAACATCCTATAAAGATGCTTCAGCTTTCAGCTGCTCGACAGGTTCCCTGGTGTCATAAGCCAGCTGGTCTTTCCAGGGTGTTTCCATGTAAAATGAAGAGAACTTGGATGCTTTCACATGCTAGAAGAAAGCTCTAGATGGAGCAGAAGACAAAATATTTTGCAATAGCTATGGGGAAGTCTTGCCTGTTGCTGAAGACAGGAAAAAACTATTTGAGATGTGAAGAAAAATGATCGTAAATATCTGATTATTGAACCTTCCACTTGGAGGTTGTCTTCCTTATGTCCCAACTTCCCTGCTCCCCTTGATCATTTTACCTTATTCCCTCTAAAATGATACCATAAAAGGATTCAGAACTCTGAATGCTGTATGGCTGCCCTCAGTGTGCATATGACAGTGTAGGTAGATCAATATCTGGCTGTTTGTCGCCTGAAGACCTTTATGGGATAGGCAGAAATATTTAAGGGATGGGCTTTCGGAGCTTATTACTTTTGATTTTATCTGAACAAATATATTGCTGGTCTTGGTCCTTTGAAAATGCTGTTGTAGAAAAGTGAATAAATGGCAGTTTATAATGAGGATCCCTTGAGAGGATAAGCAGAGAGGTAGGGAGTACGGAGAAAAGTTATTAAGGAATTAGTCTTTGAAAGCTGCTTGCTAATGAGAAGCATCCTAATAATCATAATAGAGAAACATGAGAGCATGAAAGGCAATTTAAACAACTTTTTGTATGCTTGATAGGAATCTGCTTGAAAAAGAATTGTGGAGAGAGATAATCATTATTGGATTAGCATGATCTATGAAGAGGAATTAATGGAAGTAGAAAAAAGATGACAAGAATTTACTTTCCTTATCGAACACCTATCCTTGGTTACACATGGGGTGCATCCTTCGAGGGGCTCAGCTCTCAAGGAGGGTATTATGCTTGTCCTTGGAACAGATTTGTCTTCTTCATGCTGGGATCTTACTGGAGAAATTAAGCATGAAGAACTGAACCAGATAAAAGCCTTTTTTTCCCTAAGAAACCAGAAACAGTCTGTTCAGTTCCCATGTCCTCATCAGCTGCACTAGCTCCCAGCTATCCTATTGCCTATGGGCACAACTGTAGACTTCTTCTTGACATAATTGTCTTAATTAGCAATCAAGGCACCTGATACATTAGTGAAGGCTGTCATGTACTCACTCATGCACCAAGGAGGGTCAGGTATATGAATATCTGGGCACAATGAGGACCACCTGCACCCTAGGGGACAGCGAGCTGCGGGTGCCACCACTGCCAGCCAGGGGCATCCTCCAGCCCAGACTTTGGAGCACCTTCCTGGGGATGGGGACGGGCTGTTGTCAAACTGTTGTCAAATTTTGGGGTCTGGGTGAACTGGGAGAGTCTTGCCAGTGATAGCATCCGTGTTTGAGTCTTCATCTCGCAGGATACTTCTTGTGTGGATGGACTTGTGGTGGTGGTGGGTAGTACTTTACTCATTGCATTTTCAAGTGCTGCTAACTGCAGGGCCGCTCTCCTCTTACTGCTGCCTTTCTGTCCTCTATCGCTGGATGCAAAATGCTGTGTATGAAGAGATAGGTAGCATTGGGATAGTTGGATGTTTATAAATGAATGATGTCAGTCAAGCTTTAAAGAAAAAAATGAGTTTGTTCTGGATGAAAAGGGAGCCTGAGAAATTCAGAGCTAAGGCAATGGGATGCTCCATCATATATATGTCTTTTTAGACATACCTGGCCTCTGCTCCCACTCCTTTCCCTTTTTTTTGTGAGGCAATGTTATGACTAACTGAAAACCGGGCAGCAGATTAGCTGGAATTAGCCTAAGGTAAAAGATGTGGTAGAGGAACGTCCGTGGCCATGAAGTCAGTGGGAAGCATAGGCAAAAAATGACTGAGGAAAAGTGCAAAATGGAAGGGGGAGAAGATAAATAATGTGATAAATGAGCCACCAGAGGGAAGAGGTGAATGAGGAAAAGGTGTATTGTGAAAGCTAGAGCTAGAAGAGGTGTTTAATGGATGTATTTAAAAGTCTGTGCTAAAAGCGGTTATGGAGAAGATCAGGAGAGAAGGCGTAGACAGCAACAGATGAGAAGATGGTAAAGTAGAATGGTTAACCTTGCTTTGCACAGGGACTGTGTGGAATAAGGTGACATTGAAAACACAAATCATAGATCAGAGGGAAAAAGGGGTTGAAGAAATGGAATAAGAAAAGTCAAAACAAACTTGTATGAATGGGTGGAGATTTTGTGCTGAACAAAGCCAAAGATAGAGAGGATGTAAAAGGCAGCAGTTGGCCTCTTCTGTTGAGCCTAGCAAGAAGCTCACTGAAAACCAAGGCTAAGTACTGGTGGCAATACTCAGGAGGAGCAGCAAATACCAGTGAGACAGAAGGGGCAGATCTGGCAGCGGTGTGAGTGGCATGAAAACAGCAACACGAAGTGAGTTTGGAACAGGACGGGGAAAGGCAAAGAGCTGGAAATGGTAAGAGGCAGAAAGAGAGCAGCTTCATTCCTTTGCATTGGTTTTTTGGAGATCAATCTCAGCTGGGACCATTTGAGAAGGAGAAGTTTGCTTTGAAAGGCACTCATTTTAGCTGCTAGAGCAAGGTCTGAATTTCTCTATGATGGGCAATAGCTTGTATGTGAACTACAGAATATGTACCAAGGGCACCTCAAAAACCAACTCAGAGCAAGTCAGCTGCATATGCCAGATGCCAAGAGGTTTATTTCTGTGCTTTAGAGCTTTTAGATCGATCTTCCTTTGGACTGCGAAGCTGCACTGAAAGGCAGATGTGTGTGTCCCCATGACACAAAATGATGCCTTTTTAGAAATACCCAAGGAAGCATTCAGCAGGCTGATATGTCTGGTTTGATTTGGTGATGTTGAGACATGGGACGGTGTCCTGGGAGCTTCTGTTCTGGATTTAGCTCTTTCAAGAGCTACCTGGGAGTCTCTGTACCATGCTGTATTTGTGGCCATGCGACCATGTCCAGTGTGGCAACTGGGAAGTCCTGGCTGATCACAGAGTTGTTTCATGATGTATCCATAGCTATATTATCTGTTCATTTCAATTGATATATATATATATATCTCCTTTTTTTGTTTATTCAGCATAAAATATAAATAACTTAATCAATAATTAATTGTCTGGGAATTAAAATCCTTGGCTGACTGGCTTCAGTTGACTTCATGAGCATCATTTGTGTTTACCACCCTTCTTGCTGTTTCTAACATCTGTGGTTCCCATTGGGGGATTTTTTCCTGTGGCAGTTATTCCTACAAAACCAGGATTTATGGATCTCTCTGTGGTGTCGGTCCTCTACTTCTCAATTGTTTTGTATGTTTAGTCATTTGTCAATGCATTGCATTTTCCTTCCACCTTAATATCTATTTAGTTCAGTCATATTTTCAGCTTTGGGGTACAGAGGATGCTACCATACTTTGAGCAGGTATTAAAATGATCCTAGACATTTCCCTTTTGACTTGCATAAGATATGGTAAGGCACCCATAAGGCTGATTTGTTGTCTCTTTGCAGCATGCTATTGATGCTGATAACGCAGGAGTCAGCCCCATAGGAAATTCTTCTAACAGCAGCAGTCATTGGGACCTTGGAAGTGCCTTTTTCTTTGCTGGAACGGTCATCACAACCATAGGTATGTTTTGTTGTTTATCTTTTCAAATACATTGCCACACTGAGACCTGGGTAATGAGATACATTTAAGGAAGGTCGACCACAAAGAAATAAAGTGGCTGAGCTGTATTTCTCTCAGTTCTCAGAAGACATGCTCGTGTCAAGGGCATTCAGCTCTGGGCAGGTATCAGAAGCTGTTTACACAATCAGGGTAGAGCAGCAGTGCTGAGCTGAAAACCAGCAGCACTGGTGTGCTAAGGCTTCATACCCCTGTACTTCGTGTGGATGCAACTGGTGTTAATTTTCACTAAAAAGATCAAAAATTAGTCCCCAGTGAAATAACTATTCTATGGTTGTTGGGAGTTTGGATTTTAATATTTCAGATGAATTTACCCATAAGGGTTACTTCCTTCCTAATTTCATCAATTAATTTTGGCTTATGCTCTGAAGTTTGAGATAAGTAATTCTTCTGATACCCTACTCCTGAAACTGGAAATGTACGCATGTGAGTATCGCATCCTTTTTAAAATCCCTCCTCACTTCCATACTCACACTTGGAAGGGATTCAATGAATTGTACATTGTGCAAGAAACCCCCACATTTGGTTGTTTCCATTCTAGAATTTGTGGCCCTGAAATACTGACACACTTTTCTCTATTAGATGAAGGGTGTACTGAGCTGCTCCATTTACCTTTCTCGAACCACTCATCTTAGTAAGTCCATTGTTTTGGGCCTGCTCATCTGTCCCCCTATACATTGTGCCTGGTGTATTTAGTCTCTTGATCTCTGAATGCTGGCCCTAGATTTGCTAAGGTTTTCTCTCCTCTGTGAGCCAGTTACTCACTTGAAGGTTGTTCAAGTAGCTGGAGTTTCAGAAGATGGTTTGAAGAAAAGAAATTATAAACCGGTAGCATTGATTATGAGGTTAATCTGCTGATATTTATTCAGTAGTTTTATAATTTTAAGCTTTATTTCAGTGCTGCCATGATTATAAGTCAAGATCTGATTATTTGGAAATCACTGGCAAATTGTTGCTGTTTATTTGCGTTGCCTTTGAGTATTCTTCTGATTTAAATACTGGATAAAGTGCTGCTCCTTATTACAGCTGGTCACCGTATAGATAAATAATGTGACGATCACATAGCTCCACATTAAAGTGTGAGAATCTGGCTGAATTCTGCAAGCTCTGTATGCAGATAACACAACAAAAATAAACCTGTGGTAGTTACAAGACTGGTTGTGGCGATCATCTCAAGCAGTGGAGCGTGTGCCTTTGGCTCTGCCTTTTCCTTATTGTCAGTGAGGGTTAAAGAGTGGTTGTACAGAGCCTGCTCCTCTATACACTAAGCTACATTACCATGTATTTTTAACGGTAGCATAAAACCATGTCTTTTAAAACAGTAGCACTGAGAAAGCAAGCATTTCTGAATCAAATGTAAGAAAGCCCTCCCTTAATATTTGTTTACTCAACAGACCCAAGTGACAAGGTTTGAAGTTACTCATTAAAATAAATGCCACTATGTAGGCATGGTTTATGTCAGCATATTCATTGACATCTGCTATTTAAATAACTTATTGAAAAGAGCTTGGATTTTTGCCCGTATTTGCTTTAGATTCTCCATGAATGAGGTTTTTATGGGCCGCATAAAGTCTGTGTATTGTGTCTGGGCATGCAAATGACATTATTTTATCCACCAAAGCTGTGTTAGAGCTCCTCTTAGACACTCAGTAGAGCACCTGGTCAACCTCAGCCACGTTATTTCATCGATGATTTGTGATTGTGTGGTCATTTTTAATATTCAAATAATTGTGTGTTGTCAGAGTACATTTCAATACAGATACCTGGTCTTAAATGCAGAGGTACAAATACCCCTACCACAATTCTTGTTGTTTTCTCTTTGGTGTTAAAGTTTTAATAGAAATACCATGGTTACTGGGGTCATGCTCCACGTAGATGCTCCTGAGGTTCAACTCACATAGGTGGTGCAGGGAAGGGAAGATGCGCCTGAACAAACTGTGGTGGTTACACTGCATAGGACAGTGGAGAGAGCTGCCTTTCTGCCAGTGTCAGATGTTCCCAATATTTTATCTGGAGTCACAAGGCTGGGAATCAAAATCAAACATACTTGGGCCTAAAAGAGAGTTTCCATGCAGGATATGCAGCTGTATAATTGTGTCTTGAATCTGTCATCTTTTCAACAGCCCCAGCTTACCCTAGGAGAGGATGGAAGTAAGTCATGTATGCACCTTTACTAGAGCATCAATAATGATTTTTAATTATAAATGGAGTAGGACCTTCAGAGGGAAGGCTTAATGACTTCCTTGTTAAAAGCTATTACAAAACCTCATGAAATACAAATGTTGGGCTCTTTATTTGACAGAGGAACTGAATAAAGAGTTCAAGGGAAGATCTGTGTAGTGTGGGCACAGTTTGGAGGCCGCAGTGTGATGAGGGGATGAGGAAATGATGAGTTAACCACTGAAAATGAGCCTTGTCGGGTGAATCACACTCCCATCGGGAAGGCATTGGCACAGCCCAAGAGGAGCTGCAACACAAGGGTATCAGGCCAGCACACAGGGACTTTTTTGCCATGATAAGGCAATCTAGATTAATTAATCAAGCAACAACTTTGGTAGGACCTGAATCTATAGAAAATAGGGGTAACTGAGGTTACAAGAACTAAATCACCTGGGAAATTACAGTACGACAGTCTGTAAATAGGAATGACATGTGGAACCTAGGTATGCCTGCTGAAATAGCAGTGTTTCTAAACCCATTAGTTTTTCTAAGAAGCCACGTGTAAGTTCTGAGAGTTTGACCTTTGTTTTTCTCCTCAGGGTATGGGAACATTGCCCCAAGCACTGTTGGAGGCAAGGTTTTCTGCATCCTGTATGCCATCTTTGGGATTCCCCTCTTTGGCTTCTTGCTGGCTGGGATTGGAGACCAACTGGGGACCATCTTTGGGAAGGGCATCACGAGGGTGGAGAAAGTTTTCAGAGTAAGTTCACTGCCAGTTTTTTGCTTCTGTTGTATAACTTGCTTTTAATGCCGTTGCTGTTACCTGCAGAGCTTTATACCTGTTGAGATTATGCTTAAGCTGTGATTAATGTTCAAGGAAATCGCCTTCTCTAGGTGGTGGTGCAGGGGTTATAGGTCAGGCTCTGCATTTCCTTCTTGAGGAACATATCTCCTAAGCTAGGTTCCTTACAAGGACTGATTGTAAAACACAACATTCACTGAAACAGAGAGAAGATAATGTAACATCTGGAGGAACAGGGATGCAGTTAAGTCCTGACTGTATCACTATTAAACCTGAAAAAGACTTGGGAAGCAAGGTTACTGGAGTGAATGTGACCTTGGAAAGAGAGTGATGTGCTTTTGCTGCAAGAGTGATGTATTGGAGCAGATCTGCAGATGCAAAAACTGGAGTAATACCAGACTGGAATCATCTTCCTGGTGTTAAACTTCCCTGCCTACCATGGGTACATCCCACACTAGATTTCTGTGTAGACTTTCTCATATGTAATTTCTCTTCATGATGCCGGTACCCTCTACTTCTGAGTCTGTATCACCGTAAGCAAGTCTTTCACAAGCGGTGCTGGCAAATGCTGCTTTCCTAATTTGCCAATCCAATTGGCTCACCTCAGGGATTCTCTCTTTGAAGCACAACCTGTAGAAGTGACCTGTGCCATGGTGCCCCTGGAGCCGTGTAAGTGGAGGTAAGTGTTTCCAGGGATGGAGCGGATGAGAAAGTGTCCAAGCTGTTTAGTTTAATAGGCATCTGTTTCCAAAACATTCCCACAGATGAGAGGAAATTACTTGTAGCTGTTTTTGAGAGGAAGTAATTGAGTATTAGACTGGGGTATGAGCAATTTCCCTTTAGATTAAATTACTGTGAAGTGTCCCAGACCAGCCGTAAGGAGCTAAACGTGGGAAAAGGTGAGTGGTGGTTATGGGTGAGTAAGTGTGCATGTTCCTGACTGGAGAGCAATTGAAAATGGCCTGCATTTTCACAGAATAAAAACTGTTATTCAAAGGTGGCTCAGGTTGGGTCTGCAAAACCAGAAGTAGCTAAGATCCCTGGTTTATTTATTATCTGGCTGCTTCTTATACCTGCTTCACCTCTAAGGAATCTCTGAACCTCCCAGCCTGCTTCTGCCCAAGGAAAACCACAATCTCAAAGTCATGGTGTGGATTGAGAGTCAGAAAATCCGTGATTCATTGTCAGCTGTAGCGTTGGCTTTCTGGGTGGCGTGGACAAGACCGTCAAACTGTCAGCATGATGGTTTAGGAGTAAAATAACACATCCTCTACTTGGAGCATTTTAAGAGTCACAGATGAACGCTGATACAGGTTTCATACAGAATACGGCCCTTTGGTACATAATGGGAGTTCTTTTGGTATTCAAAGTACTCCTTCCTTTTCTTGACTTCATGCAGTTGCTTGTTCTTTATAACCAGCTCAACTATTTGTTCTCTTCCGTGGTATTTTGTCAGCTTTCAAGAAATGTAGAGATCTGTGGTCCGCTTGTTTAGCCACCTGTATGCTTATTCCTTTTATTTTGGTTCTCATAAATCCATTATGTCTGGTCTTTGTGGTTTGGTGGATGGGGTTATACATAATTTCCATCAGTATTCCTAGTAATGAGGTTCAGCTATTTGAAGACAGAGTTTACAATTTAGTGACTACTGTTCATACCAGTAGTTTCACTTTATCTGGTTATTTACATAACATTTGATGGATTATATATGATCACTAATGAATTGTGTTTACATTGTTAAGCTCCGTAAGTGTTTGGACCTGATCAGCTGAATCCCCAAGCGGAGTAACAGCTCTTGATTTGATGCTGAGCAGTGAACATAATTTGGTTCAACGTGTGACTCGTGTTTCTTACTTTGTCTCCACAGTGAACTCCAATTCAACTTGTTTGTGGGTGTAAAGCAACCTGCTACAGTCTTTAAAAAGAGGACATAAAAATTAGAAGAGTCTGAGTGAAGGAGTGAACATAGGCTAAAAAGACACTGAAAAGTGTAATAAGGTGTTGGGTGGTGTCCCTTACAAATCTTGTGACGCTAGCCAAGGGGTCACTGTGTATCAGTGGTCTGGTGATATAGAAACTGAATTTTTGGAAAGCTTTTTACAAGTTTTCTCATCAAAGGCTATAAGGAAATGAAGCTGTGGTGAGGTAAGAGAGAAGGTCTCACACGTCAGGACGTGTTAATGGAGATTAGGAATAGATGGTGGCATTATTGGTGTGACTCCTTGCTGAGATCTTGCTGTTTTAAGAGAGATGGGCTGGAATGGTTCAGACCAGAAGGTGACTATACAGTGACAGTGTCTGCAAATCGTGTATCTAGATGTTTCAGGACAGCTAAAATGGAAGCTGCACAATGATGATAAATGGAATCCTGTGCTGGCAATACAAAATAATTCGTGTTTCTTAAGTTTGAGCAGAGAAATCCTAGTATGGTCATACAGGGATAGCATCACAGTTCGTTACTCCGGAAGCAACCTGGAATTACTGTGGATGGCTGTGTGAAATAACACTGTGAAAATTATCAGCAGGTTAAGAGGGAAAAAGAGTGTGAGAGAAGGATCTGAACAGATCCATGGTGCATGTGCAGTTCCCATTGTGAAAAGCATTTAATGGAAATAAAAATCAGTGTCCTGGACATTATAATAACCAAGTTTCCTTTGCATATGCCTCAGTATTCTGCTCCTGTCTGTCTTTAGTCACATCTCTTCGTCCCCTTCACCCCTGGGGATGTTACACGGCTGGTGTCGGGGTTGCTGAGAGTTCCCAAAATCCCTGCAACTCCGTCATCGTTACGATCATTTCTGAAGCTGGGTAAGAGGCAGTGTGCATACAGGGGCTGGAGAGGAAGGTTTCTCTGTGGCACAGCAGTCTTTGCACCCAGAGCATTTCCTTAATGGGTCTCAGTGTAACTGTGAGCTTAAGCCCACATCGTGCAAGGGACAGCTCGCCCCCGGCATAGCTGGGAAGATGAAAGGAGGATTTGTCCCAGAGGAGCTGTGCTCGTGCACTGCTGCTGCCTCTGACGTGACCCAAGTGGAGCCCCACCACACCTACATTAATTAGCAGCGCAAATTAGAGCCCAAGAGTGCCACATTTAGCCATTGCAGCGATCAGCCCACGCACTCTGTGGGAATTTTAAGAACGATTTGGACTCCATAAAGGGGGAAAGGGATCTGCTGTCATCAGATGCACGCTGCCCCCACAGTATTGACAGAACATTTCAGCAGAGGAGCTGGACACACGCCACTGCTCGTCCTGTAATGCAAAATGTTGCCTCTATTTGGTTGTGTAGAAAACCAGGAAAACAACTATTCATGGATAGGGCTGGAAGTATTTAATTGCAAAATAAGGCTTTGTAAAATCAGGAACTTCTTATGTCCTATTTTAGGAAAGGGAGGCAGTGGCAGGGTGATGCTGCCTGGGACACGAGGAGGTATCTCAAACACCATGCACAGATAGTCTGTACCATCTGTCCTGCTGGGGCAATCGTGTTTGGTACAAGCAAATAAACACCAACCGGGTCAGAGATGTAATCCAAAG